TATATATATATATTCCAAGAACTAATAAGGAATCTTTAAAAGTAAAACGGTCGCCCTAATCATGGTTTAAACTAGTGTCTTCTGTCGGCCTATATGAACACTACTAAATCAACGGCGCCGCTGGGGCTTATTTGTAAATAGAAACCCATTTGAAAAAAAACTTACAATTCATGACTTTGTTTACTCACTTTTTCGATTATAGAAAAGGATGAGGCAATCCAAGTAACATAATATACAATCTCAATGTTGCTGTTGTAAATCAGCTATCTACACTAAGCAGTGATCTGTTTCGCTAACATTGGTTTTCAGTAAATTGAGGGAGCAACATTCACACCGTCGAATAAGAAATGCACATTCAAGGAAGGAAGGAATGCAAAGAAGGTAGGAAAAAGACAATCGATCAATCCCCTAAACCGGACACAATATTGCCAAGATAGCTGGCATACAGTATGTTCTTCAATTTTCAGGAAGTTAAAAATAAGAAACGAGATATGCTGCAAACATTGTATAGGGCTACCTATATCTTTAAAAATATTCGAAAAATGAAAGAGTAAGTAATCCAAATATTCTATGGGTGAGAGTAACTTATACCTCTTTGCTTAGTGAACTGAACTTTGCGATATTATTTAAATTTATTCTTGGAAATTATGTAGGCCTATCATTCTACAGGCTATTAAAATGTTTATAAGGCTCTAAAAATATAGAGGTTAAAACAGGAAAGGCTTATGTACATTGTTCAACCAGTAGTATTGGGATAACGCCAACATGGCTAATTGCATTTTCTGATGAAGTGAATTATAGTATGGCATTCTTCCATCTTCTACGGTACTACCGCACGTTCGATTTATTTGAGGTATATTTATCAAAAATTCATCATCAAAAACATACATAGCAGCAACAAAGGCTGAATTACGTATGAATTAAGAAGTAAGTATAAAATATATATTATATAATATTAAAAAGGTAGACAAAATAAAAAGACAAAAAATAAATACCAATATCAAAATACGAGATAACTACGGAAGGAGCATTTGTAAAACGACCGGACACTAAAGGGAGGGGAAAATAAATCAATCAACTGGAGGGAGAAAATTTTGAGTTTAACTTTTATTTATTATGCAAGCCAAAAATGGGAACGGACTTGTTTGGAATCGTTTGGTTACCGGTAATTAATTAATTACGTTTCTTTTATTTCAATAAGCCTGCTTCTTCATATCCCGAATAAAGAAGAGTCCCCCCTAGTTATTTTTGTTTTCAATACTAGGTCTAATAGTGATAATCTTTATATTTTTATTTGCCCTAATATACCACCAAAATCATGTGGAAAAAACTTTCCCTTTCCCTTTCAAACTTAGGGACAAGAAAATGTAGATCCAGGTCTTTTAATACTATTTTGATTGATCGAGACATTTTTGTTTTCGTTAGTTATTATTATTCTATCACTAAGATAATCACATGTCGAATATGCTTTGTTACGCGCGATTTTCCACTAGGCTCATTCCCACAGCCGTTGATTTTTTTTCACTTGACCCGATGTCAAAGGTCATGAAAGTACCGAATGATAAAAGAACCGTACGTAATGATGAAAGGGCCGAAAGGTAAAAGCACCAAATGATAAAAGAGCCGAAGTGCGGCAAAAGCACCGAACGTAATGTTAAAACACCGAACGTAATGTTAAAAGCACCGAACGTAATGTTAAAAGCACCGAACGTAATGTAAAAGCACCGAACGTAATGTAAAAAGCACCGAACGTAATGTAAAAAGCACCGAACGTAATGTAAAAGCACCGAACGTAAGGTTAAAAGGGCCGAATAGCAAATTGCGCCGAACGGAAAAGAGCCACCAAAGGCAGTAACGGCGTTCCATACTAACCGTGCGAACAGTTGGTACAGTACCCGTATCCATAGCTAAGATGGCGCCTGCACCGGTTGTAGTTTCTCCGCTTATCAGGGTAAGCTTGTTATTTGATGTAATGATGTTGAAATTAAACCACATTTGTACTGTATGATTACTTATTGTCAATTGTAGTTTGTTTAATTTGCCTCTTGCCATGCAATAACCAGGTATTTGCAGGTAATCGAACCGCCATGAAGTCTAGGAAGGCTAGGCAGCTGGGCTAGGCCTAGCTAGCTAGTCTAGTACGTACCGTACTTACTAACTAGGCCTAGGGCCTAGGCTAGTAGTAGGGGGTACAGGTCAACTCGGCCACAAGTTATTTAATGTAAATCTCTGCAGTTTTTGCATCCTTTTTCTTCAATATATGATTAAAATAAAGTACAGTGTATTTTAGTAAAACAGGACCACCACAATACCAAAAGAGATTTGAATGCTATTTAGTATTGCCTATGAATTAAAAAAGAGTTATTTATTAATGTGTTCGTCTTCTGTTTACTCACAAAATTCTACTTCAACAATAATATTAAACACCAATAACGACAATAAATTAATAATATTTACTTTAATAATACTAATTAGTCATTATGATGATAATAAAGGTGATAACAACAACAACATTAATAGTAATGTTTATTTTAACAATACTAATCGTAAAAATACTAGTATGGTAATAATAACAATTTTTAAATATCAATTTTTAATAACTAATTAGTGATAATAATGATATTGAAGGTGATAATAGCAATAATACAACAATAATAAATAATGTTTATTTTTATAATAATAGCAACTAATTAGTAATAATAATAATAATGATACTTATAATACTTACTAGGCCTACTTAGTAATAATAGGGTAATAATATTGACAATAAAGGTGACAACAACAACAACAGTAATATTAATAATAATAATAATAATAATAATATGAGAAAAATACCAATAAAACACCAATAACAATAACTTTTTTAATTACTATTATTAAAATAGTAATACTAGGACTAATAAATAATAATAATAAATCGAAAATTATTTATTATTTATATAGGACTGTAATAATAATATCAGCAAAAATATTGAACAATATATAATGTTAATGCTAAGACTAATAATTAATATTAAAACTAACGGTAATAAAAACAACAATAATAATAACAACAATGACAACAATAATAACAGCAATAATAATAACAATAAGTATAGTAATACTTAAAGAATTAGTATTTTATACTTGATGAAGTACTCCTTCAAAGTGTAGTACCAGTAAATGACTTGAGTTGGCTTGTGGCCGAGTTGGATCGAATTCTAGTAGTAGTAGTAGTTGAGGAGGAGGGCCTCCTACCTTTGTGCAATCCGGCGACAGACGATCGGGCGCAGGACGATCTAGCCCAAGCGTATGCTAGACTATCGGGCCCACCTAATGTGGACAATCAGGCCAACTTTCATTCTGATTCATTGTTTTGCGTTTTAAATTAAAAATTAATATAGACCTAGCGATGACCATTTAAATTACGATTCTTAATAATAGTTGTATGTTTGTTAGGCCTAAATAAATTTTGAAGGCTTCATTTTGTTGTTGTTGTTGTTGTTGTTGTTGTTGTTGTTGAAGTGTACAGTTTTTGGAATATTTTAAAATCCCTAAGTTAAATTTATTTTTTATTTACTTTTTAAAAATTTTCAATGAAGAAAAAAAAATGCGATTGTTAATTGAACCTGTAATCATATGACTACTTATACAGAATTTTACTATAGTATTTATAGGCCTAGCATAGGACCAGGCCTCCTACTATAGTTTAGGCTATAGAAGCCTGGTCCAAGACCTTGTTGGAAATCCCAGCCCACATAGGCCTAGCCTATAATGCCTAGCATATGGCTCTTGATTGCAGTACCCCAACCACTGGAAAGCGTTGTTCACGGCATTGGACTGCAGCGAAAATTAATTGACACTGAATTTTTATTTTAACTTGGACTTTTGCTGCGTATGGCACCCCATACCCTTGGACCTATGTGTGAATGTCTTCCATTTCAATAGAACCCTTGCAGAAAATGTTTTCCTTCATTGAATAGTTTTTTGATATAAAAGTTGCACATTTATTATTTAGCATATAGATTTCAGACAAACATTTATAATTATTAATAATAATAATTTGATTTTTTTTTTAAATACATTTTTTTACCTTAAAGTTTTCAAGATATGCAGCCTTATTTATTGGGTACAAGTATGGAGCAAGGCACCATGCTGCACTTCAAGAGAAGGAAGATAAATATATGAAACTAAAAGAGACTAAAATGGCAGAAGAAGTTAAGAAGGAAGCCGCAGGTAACACTTCTCAAGAGACTTAAAATTGAAGATGTATTATACATGCAATATACCAAAAATAATAATAAATATCACCTTTAACTTGCTCATTTTGTAGTAACATAAAAAGAATCAACATTGAACATAGAAATTAGTGTATTTAATACAAATTTCACCCATAATTTGACAGCAATGACGCTGAAGTGTTTTTGTTCTAATCATTATCCAGTATTAAAATCAATAATTTTTTATGCTCATGTTAATAATGTGTAGTGGATGTTTTTGCAAAATGAGTAAATTAATTTCAAAATTATTTTTTATAATTTTTTTGTAATTTCCAGGGGACAGTACATCTACTGAAATAATAATGTAATAATAATAATAATAATAATATCCGGAATTTGTAAGGTGCCAATTTCCAAAAAGATCAAAGGCGCACTATGCAAGTGTGATACCCTCGGAAAACAAAAAGGTCTTAAGTTGCGATTTAAAGTTGCAAAGATTAGAAGAAGTAGTTATATTAATAGGAAGCTGGTTCCAAAGAGAAGCAGAAGCAAATGAGAAAGAGCATTGACCATATACAGTATTAATAGGAAGAAATGATCACGAGGGCAGATGATTAAGTGAATTCATCAGAAATCAATGTCACACTGACAAAGAACATGCAAATTGGACAGTGTTTGATTTTAACACTTGACCTCATGGTTAAGAGACTGAATCACTACTATTGCTCACTTTATTACTTGTACCATGCTTGTACAGTAATAGTATTCATAAGATGAATAAAAACATCAAGATAAGGTGCAACACTAATAAATCTCTCCCCATTAAACTTTTCCCCATCATTATCAATAAGTGGTGACATCTTACACATTTTTGAAAACATCTAAATTACAATAGTCTTTTAGCTTCAGCATATCATGTTGAACATTCTTGATTATATTTATTATTAATTATTACAGTATATTATTACTTTTTATAACCAATTGTTATTTTCAACACTTCTCTTTCAGCTTCTGAAGGCTCTATATTTGATTAGATGAAACAAGACCCTCCTTGAATTCTGATATGATTACTTCAATAATTTTGAGAAGAAAATATATGGATTGTTATGTTCTTAGAAAATGAAACTCTTACAATTCGATGAAACTCCTGTAATTTGTGATGTCAAGTATGTACATACTGTCACTATACAGTACTCCATATTTGCTTACAATCAGTTATTGCAGTGCCCTGTCATGGTAGACACCTGGATATATCAATAGTTTTAAACTGAGAACAAAACTTGGAAGTATCCACAGACGTTAGTATGTACTGTTGGTCAACCTTCAACCAGCATCATTTATTTACAGAACATTTAAATAAAAAGTAATGTTTATCGAAAGATTGTTTTCTACGTGGCTATTCTTTTGTGAATACAGGGTCTCCCTCCAATTAAAGACCACTTTTGGGACCAGAGTTTTTATGGTCTTAGCAGCCTTTGTCTTGAATTAGCATAATAAAGATAAAAGAAATTCATTAAAAGTGGTCTTTAATTGAAGGGGTACATATTTTGGTAGACATTCATATCCTGCTTTATTGATGCATATGTGACTGGCTCTGGCAAAACCAGCTGTTTGTCGGAAAATTTTAAATTGAATTTTTGGTATTGTTAGATTCTGCATAAATTCTTCTTAATTGGATATCGCCATGTAGCTTTTGAGAAAACAGCTTCCAAAGATTCCAGAATCAATAGCTGGTTATTAAGATTTGTATTTAAAAATAATTCTAATAATTTTCAGTTAGATTTAGTGATTGATATTTTGCAGAAATTTTCTTCAATATATCTTCTTTTATAAAATGCAAAAACCTGAAAATGTTCAAAATTCTGATTCTTTAACATTTTGGGTGTTTGTGCAAAATTAGAAATTGCGACAAACGGTGTGTTTTGCCATTTCCTATTTACTGACTACCAAAATGAACACACTACCAGACAAAAGAAAAGAAAGTGATTTCATCTTTAATATCTGATAAACACTAAAACTATTATTATTTAGCTGTATTTTTCATACACCTTAAAATCAACTGCAATGTGCACATAACACTAGGTGGAATGTGACAAAAAAAAAGTGTAAATTCAACTACAGTACATACAATTCCTACAATGAATTCAGTCTTAAAAACAAATGCAGATCGCAGAATTTCACATAGCTAATTAATTTGTATACATATACATCTGTGTAAAAAAGTAAAGCCTCTTTAGAACTACCTAATATATTGACAAAAATATGCAAGGAAACCCTTTATAAAAAAAAAAGGAATGTTTAGAAGATTGCAACATTCTATTTATACTATATTTCCACAGAGGTGGATTCAAGATGGTACCAATCTAGGACCTATGGGGAAAGGTTAGCGTTGAACCCCTTATTACCTATTGCAGATATCTGGGGCATAGCTACCTAGAAGCTCTTGAGTCTTAGCCATTTTAATCTCTTCACTAAACGTCACCAGGGCCGCCAAGAGGGGGAACTGTAACGGGCAAGGATTGGTGTGGGCCCCAGTTATAGGCGCTCTGTCAATCTGGAGGGGGTCCATTATTAGGGGACCCATGCCATTATTGAGAGCCCATGATAGTAATTATAATTTTTGAAAAAAATATTGTGAAAAAAAAATGCTACCTGCAATTTCTATGGGCCCCTGGTAAGCTTGGGCCCTGGGAATCTTCCCATCCTGCCCCCTCCCCCTCCTCTTGGTGGCACTGGTTGGCACACTGGTTAGTTTCCACCACTCGATCCGCCACTGTTTCAATAGATATAGTTCTCTCAAGGCGAGACTTTTTTTATACCTTGTTTAGCGAACCCGCTGACTGCAAATATTGATTTTGAATAATAATAAAATTTTATTTTTGGCCAATTAGTGGAAAATTCAGTAAAAAAATAAAAGTTTTTCTTTATTTTTATTAGCCATCTGCTGCCTTGAAATCTCCAAAGATATGTATATTTCTTCCTAATTATATAAATTTGAAGCATTTAAGCATCTTATTTCACATTCACCAATAACATTTTATTTTATTTTCTAAGAAACTTAACAAAAGAATTATCCTAAAACCCAACAGAAATGTCTAAATTTATACTTTAAACACAGATTTGTTATACAAAGATTATTTGTTGCATTTTTAAGCCATACATAAAATTATGTACATGGCCAAACAATTTTACATAATTAAAACATTTCACTCAATTGTATAAGAAAAACTGTTAAGAAGCTTAATAAAAGACATACCCATTAGATCTGGAGTTAGTTTATAAGAAAGATAAATAAAAGTTTCAAAAATTGGCAAGAAGCAAGGGAAGTTAAATGCTTAACATTACTTACACAAATATAAACTGTTGTTTATTACTTAAATACTTTGATTTAAAAATTGACATTAAGCAACAGGTTGAATGTACAGTATTGGTTTTAAATTTATTATATGTGAATGAATAAAAACATTTCAAATTATCTAATATTATAACTGAGCATAAAGCCATAGGTTACAATTCTGATCACAACATCACTATGCACACACTCAGATGGCAAGGCATAGAAGTAACCATCAGGACGGTTCCTGGACTTAACTATCGGGGTGCTCATAATACACTGCGGTCTTATATAGGAATTAGTAATGGGGTCTGCACATGCCACAGTGAGGCAGACGCTTGACTAATCCACCAAGCTTTTTTCGCACAAGTATGTACATCATAAAGCATATATTATTCACATTTAAATCCATTTTCAATGTCATCTATTTTTCAAACATTTGGTTTCGAATTTGGTAAATTTTATATATAAAATATTTTTATTATATACTATTAAAGGCAGCATTTAAATGCATTATTAATCAAGGTGATTATGTCTATTACTATATTATTTATTTGATAATTATACTAAGAGGACCTGTAACTTATCTACTGTACATTGCTTTAGTAAGGGAGCTGCTGTAGCACCCCCTTTGTTGCTTCAAAAGTTTCTCAATAATTGTTTTACTGTACTGAATTAAAATAAAAATATCCCTGCTGGCAGTGCTGGTTAATACACACCGACTGACGAAATATAAAAAGGGATCTTAGATTTTGAATCTATTAGCCTTTTCCAACAAGATTAACCCCTTTTCTCAAGATTGGGACCTGTCCCCAAATAATACCAAAGTTCTAGAGATTAAATCGCATACTTTAGTGGTGAAACTGGATGTGGATTACAGTGGAGAATGGAGGGGCCTATGTGCAAAAGTGAACTGCAACATGCTAACAAGTTAAAAGCAAGTGATTCTTGTGTATTCTCGTTTTAGATATATGCGTACACTGCATTCTGAAGCCACACTCGCACACACACACACTATGGAGGAATCACTCTGTATTCGCTAATGATTGGCCAAGAAATTTTTCCGAGGCACGAGCACATGCCCCAAGCAGTCAAAGTCTGTTGAAAACACTCCCATCAGACACAGTGTGTGCCAAGCTTCTTAAGTTACTGGCCCACATCTACATATAGATGAGTCTACGCATCGCTTTCACAACTAATCCCTATAAATCAAAATATAGGAATTTATACGGTGCCTTTTGCATTACAAGTTTCAGTGTTTCCTGGTCAATGGATGTTTTCTAGCTAAGCTTCAGTTCTTTATGGTTGTATGAACATCACACATTATCTCACAGCAATACATTCACAAACACAAAAAAACATATTTCTTCATTCCCTTATATTGCAACAACCCAAATTCTTTGTTTTTACTGTACAAAGTAATCATATACCCCCTACTTTTTAATTTCTGGATCTGAAAGTGAGGATCAAGTTATTTAAAATACCCATATAACACATGCCTGGTTATCTTAACTATTATTTTATGCCTACACCAACAACAATTAAATTATAAAGCAATTAAAACAATTCATCAAGCAGCATTCAACCCTCTTGCCAACTACAATTTGACTTGTAGTAAAATGTTTATCAATAATTCTCTGTGGTTAAATGTAGGTGAGAACAACATATCAAATGGCTAGTCAATCATAATCAGCAATTCATCAATGAACTTTTTGTATATTATTTCCTGTCTTCATTCATCTACCTAATAAACAAAAAATTGAAAAAATGTTATGATATTTAAGTGGCATTGAAAAATTGTGTTAATAATAAGAATAAAAAGATAGGAGTGATGTTTTGCCCTACCTGACGTGTTATTGTACTGAATACTCAGGTAGGGCAAAACATCACTCCTATGATATTTTCCTGATGCAAACTCGCATAATAATAAGAATAAAAACAACAATCATCTTAATATCAATTAAATTAAAAACTTTATAGTATAAAAAACTTCTAGCAATCTCAAAAGCTCCGATGAGGGCAGTATATTTGAGGCAGTGGAGCATATCGGCTTAAACGGCCACCCATACAAAAAAGATTTATTAATCGCCCATACAAAAAAGATCTATTAATCAATCAGCCATGTGTTTCTAGAGCTCATATTCAGAGCTAAAAACAGAACATTACTCATAAAAATGAACAAAATAGATCTACTAGCGTCTTCAAATTAAGGATGAAAATTAAAGGTAGAAAATATTTGTCTGTTTTGTATTTGATTGTGCATGTGTTTGACTTTCATGCAATGTAAAATAAAAAATGATCGAACGGATTCAACTATTCCTATGCACTATTAAGAAAATTAACAAGCAGAGCTAGAGACACAAAATAAGTAGAATGAAAAAGCAAAAAGCATTACATATATACAGCCAAAATTTTTAAGTATCTTCATCAAAATTAGGTTGGTGGTTGCAGCAGTTGTTGTGTTTCATTGTATGTAACTGGTATAGATATTGGAAGTGATTCCTTTGTTCCTCTATCATCAGTATCAACTGTCTCGTACATGGTGACCGTGGCATCGCTGTAGGATCTATGCAAGGCTACATATTGCTGTTGCCTATCCCAGGCTTCAACATCAGCAGTGGGGTGGACAGGATCTTGGGATGGACTGTGGGAATGAAAGAGCTGGCATTTTGGAAGCATGCCTGTAGGATGCCAGGCTGGTGATCCTGTGCACACCAATCACGTCACTGCACATCAGAAGATACATCTGGGTAGAGAGCACCACAATCAAGACACAATGTCAAGGAGAACGGAAGAGGATTAGGTTTGGAAGGAGGCAAAGAAAAACTATCTTCAGGAGAACCTGACAATAAAATACAGAGGCAAACCGAGAGTGATAAATTTGGTTGAACTACAGCAGAAGCCAAACCAGGTAAGGCAAACACGTTGATCTTCAATGGAAAAGTAGAAAGCAAAGCAGTCAGAAAAAATAAATGTTAACCTGGTGTGAAGATAGAGGATACTACAGCAGAGGTAAACCAGAAATATTACAAACATAGCATACACTACACACTGCAAGCTCATGTGTATATTGTAATACTGTAATTTGTTGTGTTGGTTGTTTTTTTTATTTTTTAACTTTATTGAAAGCCCTATGTGTGCGGCCCGCCAACCCTCTTTGGCTAGCAATGCCCTTGTTTTTTAGGACCCGACACCGACCATCTGTTAAAAGATAGTAGAACTGAACATACAGTGGTTAAAAAGTAGTCCATGAAGGTTTTTGGAATCACCACCCGAAAACTTTCTCATTTTGAATTAACATAAAAATTATCAACTTGAACATAGAAATTAATGTACTGTATTAAAAAAAATATTTTCTTATAATTTTACAGTGAAAAATAATACAAACACTTCAGTTACAGGAAGTGTTTTATTACTTGTTTATCATTATCCAATAAAAAATCATGGTACACATTTTTTTAATTCAATAATTTCTATGCTCAAGTTAATTTGTATGTTACTGCAAAATGAGCAAGCTAATTTCAAAATTATTTTTTATGACTTTTTGTCATTTTTCAGGGGACAATAATCTTTAAGTATGGTATTAAATTAAAGCTGCAGTTTTAAGTCATCACTTGGTTATTTAATGTGGGCCTGCATTAATCCTGTCAATTATGATGAAAATCTAAACATCCAGGAGTTCCACATTATTAAAGCCACACTTTTCCATCTGGCTGTGATTATAATCATTTTTCATAAGGAAAATCAGTTCTAACCCAAAGAAACAAGTTGCATAGTAAACAGTGCATCAAATTCACAAATAATTAAGATGCTTTGTTTTTATAATTTCTGATCAATAGACCTTACTGGCCTGTCAGTAGATCTTACTGACCAATCAGAGCAGGACAAGGACTATGCACTTATCTCGCAAATGCATGTGTTTGCGTATGATTTCGCCCTTGTTTTGTGGGACCTTGGCCAAAATATCCAAGAGAAGGCTTAGTGGATAGGACCATTGCTTTGCTGATGATTAATATGACTCATAACTGCAGCTTGAAGTGAAAATATTCAAAAGAAAAATATTTAAAAAGTCTTACGCATAGCCGTTTCTTTGAGGATGGACCTTGTTTCTGTATAGAAAGACAAAAAATGCAAGATTATTAAACAACGAAATAGGGATGAGAATAGTTTGAACACGTTTACAGAAAAAAGAGAAAAGTTGGGTGGATATGGGATGAAGACGGAAAAGAGGACCAAATGTACACAGTGAAGCCTTGCTTCCATACAATCGCTACACGCTATCACCGACAGCTTTCAGTGATGCTGATGGTCAGTTGAATCCAGGAGCCGTCCCGACTGCATCAGGGACTTCTAAGCAATGCAACAATTGCACTGAAAACACTGTAGCTACAGTGTAGCGATTTTAAGGAAGCCAGGCTTGAAGAGGAAAAAATGTTGATTTTAAATGCAGAAAATGAATTATCTAAGCTAGAATGACTGACCTAGTTGTTTGATACAGAAAAATGCAGCAAGTTACTTAAAATCTCTTATAAATAAAACATGTTAAAAAAAAAATAAATACAAATACAAATTAGGTTTTTTGGGTTAGCTGAAAAAAAGGAGTATACACATGCATGCTCATACTAATAATAATTACTAAAATCATTTAAAAAAAATTTTTTTCATGCTGTTGAGAAAAAAGTTACTAGATAAAACATTCTCAGATACAACAACGACATAGCACATAAGGATTGATTTTTACTTAAATACCTACGACAAGAATTCACTGTTGCATCTGCCACCACTTTTTGTAACAATAACTATTTCTGGGTACGCGCAAGGTGCTGACCCCAGAGCCTCCCTGCTGTTTTTGTTTTTGTGCTTGTTACCAGAGCTTTGAAAGCATCCAGCATCGCCAGTTTTGAACGGACAGGCAGGAAATTTTGTACACATAAACTAGAGGTGATTTCCAACAAACTTTCACAGCCCTTTTTAGACCCGAGGGTTCCCCCTACACCTACAAAACAAAACAGGGGTTTCAGCAAGGAATGCACATTACTACTAATAGGGCACGTCGCATGAATGGCACGGTTAAGGATGTGTTCTAAAGAACTTAAGATTGTGAGTTTAAATCGCATCTTGGTATACAATTTAAAAAAAAAAAAAAAAATTCATATTTCAATCACACATTCTAATTATTTGAAATTTCTTATTAGCTCTTCTACAAAATCCAATATAATAACATGCACCTGTACCGTATTTAAACGTGGAGGAACGCACGGACAGGCGAGAGGTTGCTCTTGTTTAATCTAAATTTATTCTGATAAAAAACTAAATTAAAGAATGTGGCTTTCTAAAAGAAAATCACAGATGCTATTTCCTACAGAAGCATTTATGCCTATGCTATTGCGAATCATTTCAATTGATTAGTATGCACAAGGTAGTTTGGTGTCAGTGAGGTCACATTACACCCAAGAATATTTGCTACCCCTGGGCAGAGGTAGTAGAAAAGTAAATAATGAAATTATAACAAGAAAATAAGTTTTTATGTACTACATGTCTCTCCAATTAAAGACTACTTTTGAACCAGCATTTCCATGATCGTTAGCAGCTTTTGGTCTCTAATTACAATAATAAAGATAAAAGACATTAGTTAATATGGGAACATAGAAAAGTGGTCTTTTAATTGGAGGGGGAGACATATTTTGACCTTTAATTAGTTTACTATATAAAAACACAAAGAAGAGTTACAAGATTTGGATGGCATTCTCTAGTGAAGGAATTACATGCATTAGGTGTGATTTTTTTTATACCTTGTTTCAGGAACCCACTCCCACAATAATGATTTTAATAAAAAATAAATTATATATTTGGCTTGTAAGCGCACCTGCCATCACAAAAACAAATATTGTATTTATTCTGTACTAATCTTGCCCCTTTGGCACCTCCCTAAATAAGAACTAGAGGTCAGGGTTTCCATTTTCTTGCTTAGCATTTTGCTTAGGTTATTTAGCCAGGCACTATATCTGCGTTGCTCTGTCTAGCTAGCCGTATTAATTGCTGGGAGTAACCTTTTAAAGTATCACCTTCATTCGCTTCACATTACAGAAACTGGGGATAAGCCAAGCGATTATGAGACCTATTGGCTCCTGAAAAGACTTACTTTGAAACAAGGTATAAGAAAAATCTAGCCTTAACTGTTTACTAATTAGTATGTACTTATTATATAATTATTTTTTAGTGAAAGAAAATATAATAAACATTAATAGTGCTTAATTTGAAAATTGTTATTTCTGGTCAGCCATGCTTATATATCACAGTTTAAAATATTGACAGGCTGCAAAGAAGTTTATGGTATATTTCATTTTCAAGCATTGTATAGACCAAGGCTTAAAGATAATAGACCTATAGTTGATTTATTGTTTAGAGGTTTCTTAGTTGGTTTTTGGCTCTGCTAAAAGTCATCCAACTCGTCAAGTGGCAGGCAACAAAAACGAATGTACATAA